TCACCAGGTACACACACCCTGCCGTCAAGAAGAAGAAACCATTATTGTGTATGCATTGTACTTTTCCCAATATATATTATCTAAAAGCAGAATCCAATTCAATCAACCAATGTATTCTCTAGATGCAGAAATTAGCAGCAGAATCCAATTCACGGCAAACTCACACCATTACTACTACAACTACTACTAAAAAAAAAGAAAAAAAAGAGGACTTCTTCTACTAAGCTCTGGGGCGAGGTCCCATTATCAGTCAGATAGGAGTGTGGTCGATCCAGTGTAGACCCCTTCCCGTTTACCGGCAAAGTAGGCAGCGCTTCCCTGTTACGAGGGGCCGCGCTCCACTACTCGCCACATGCACAAAAGGCAAAAAGTATGGCGGTGCATTTTTCCATGTTCTAGTGGAAGATTCATTCTAACTTTGCACATTTTGTGAGTGGTGCAGTGAAGCCCCAGGTCTCCTTTGGGTTAGGCAGGTACTACTATCAGGTCCTCTTGACTTCCAGTCAAAAGAAAAAGTCATGTAGCAAGTGTAGTCTCGCGGCACGGCACATGAAACGAAAACGAAAACGAAACGAGTGCATCTGCCCGTTAAAGTTGGCAAACTACACTCGTTACTATTTCTAGCAAACCGATGAACGTGGCCATTTTCTGCAGGAAGATGCACTCGTTTCGTTCTTCGTTTCGTGTCCCGTGCGGCGACGCCCCGGATCTCGCCGGTATCACCTATAGGCTGTAGCGCTTGGAGATGCGGTTAAGTCGTCTGTCCCCAATACGATATGGGTTGAGACGTATTTGGAGTCAGATCCATTCTGGAAAGTGCTAGTGTGAGTGAGTATGCCCTCACACTACCTTCTTCCCATGGGTACAACGTACGGGTCGTTTTAGCTGTACTTGGGGGTATCTGTCAGTCTAAATATCTCTATACAACTAAAAGTTACAGCGGTCCCACCGTCACACACAGCCATGGGCCCATGGAAAACTGCGGGACGGACAGCGCCAGCCACGGCGCGCGCCGACACGAAACGGCACAGGGGGAGAAAGGACAGCGCCTGGCAGGGAGCGCGGGAAAAAGGGTGTCGCGTCGCGTCCATTGGCACCGACGTCGATTCGCACCCAGGATAATGTGGCCCGTGGACAAGAACGCGCGGGGGGGAGGGGGGGGGGCGTGCAGGGAGGAGACGAAGTGCCACTGCAGCTGAGGGGAATTGTTGCACAGCGAGCGAGCGAGAACATACAGAGGAGTGCAAGGGGCACACAGTGAGAAGTAGGGGTGCACCACATAGCAGCGGAGGAAGCGTGCAGGAGCGAGAAGAGGAAGTGCTTGCAAAAAGCCTGCTTATGGTTGTTGTTTATTTACAGTCGCCAACATTAACTGTTTTATTGTATGCAAAATTCCTGGAATATTACACAAAAGGAGAGAGAGAGAGAGAGAGAGAGAGAGAGAGAGAGACAGAGAGATGGATGCACACACCTGAACACACCCACACCCACACACATACACGCACAAGCGCGCACACACACAGACACACACCCGACGAGCAGAGAGAGAGGGAGAGAGAGAGAGAGAGAGAGAGAGAGAGAGAATGAGAGAGAGAGAGAGAGAGAGAGAGAGAGAGAGAGAGAGAGAGAGAGAGAGAGATGGATGTACACACCTGAACACACCCACACCCACACACATACACGCACAAGCGCGCACACACACAGACACACACCCGACGAGCAGAGAGAGAGAGAGAGAGAGAGAGAGAGAGAGAGAGAGAGAGAGAATAGGCGGGGTCGGGGTCACGGAAGAAGCTCACAGAGAGAGAGAAGTCAGGAGTCAGGGTCGGGACGCGGTGAGGATCGGGGCAAGGGGGGCCGCGGGACGCAGCGGAGGTTGGAAATGGCAGGGGCCGGGACACAAGCAGCTCTCTCTCTCTCTCTCTCTCTCTCTCTCTCT